GACAACCATATCAGTAAAGCTTTGTTTAATAAATTTTCCTCAGTTGTTTTAAATTATAGAGTTTGGTGTGTAAACACTGTTAAAATTCAATGGAAAATTCAACTCAATGGAATAAAAAAATAATGACAAAAAAATGTAGCTTAGAGGCCCTTCTAAACTACAGGAATCTGTTGATGGAGGGGTGTCCAGTCTTATCCACAAAGGGCAGTTGTGGCTGCAGGTTTTCATTCCAGCAAAGCAGGAGCTCATCTAATCAGTTGTTCGAAGACTAAGTCTAATTGATTAAACAAGTGGAATCAGGTGTGCTCCTGCTTGTTTGGAATGAAAACCTGCAGCCACACCGGTCCTTTTAAGACTGGACACCCCTGGTTTAGGGAATCTGTTTAACCATATTACATTGGTTACTGAAGTTGTTATCTTCTTAGTATTGGCATTAGTATTGGTTTTAACATTTTAAGACTGTTTGTGTTCTAGTGTGTAATAGGGCAAATGGGACAGGGGATGAAGGATGAGAGGAATAGAAGGGCATTAAATGATGCAGGAGATGAGAGCAGAAAAGTGGATGAAGGGTCGCAAAAGCAGAGGAGATGAAAGAACAGGATAGAGAGTGAAATGAAGAGTGAACACAGCGAGAGGGGAGCAAGCAGACCAGAATAAAGCAGATAAGAGGCAATTTCAGCACACCTCGGTGTCAGAAGCTCCCTCTCTCACTCTCTCGCTCTCTCGCACACTCTGGACGATGCCCCGGTCACCGGGCGGGCAGAGCTGCACGCCGTCGCCCAGCTAACCCAATAACACTAATCACATCAAGCCTCTCTGCATCAGAACACTGCATGCAGCCTGGAGGAGAGGAATCCACAGCTGCCTGGCCTGCTGGAAACCTCCTCCACCCGCTCCCGTAACTCACCATTACTGCTCAGACACAATGACCAGGATGCAGCCCCATTCACCCCCATTCATCTGGTCTGCAGAGGCCTAAGGGAGTGGGCTAATGAAGTTACGCAAATAAGGAGCCAAATGAAGGCTAATCAAGAGGGCCAGATGTCCAGTGATGTCAAAATTAGCTTGCAAATTGAAACGTGAACATGGTTGTTACGTTAGCGGTCTAAGCAAATACTACCAGTAAAATTCCCAGTTATATAATGTACAATTTACAAATGTATTTATTGCATGTTACACTGTACAAGATGCTGCATGTGAAATCTTGACCAAATTCTGATGTCAGCTGTGAGAAATCAGTTATGTTCATGTGTGTAGAAAAACAGATTATATGATGAAGATTTTCTGGCAATAGACTTGCGATTCTGCTTGGGTCATCCATCACCTTCTGTTTTTGGTCCAAAAATGGGGTTGTGCAACCCAAAAACTCTCAGCATGAAAGTGGAGATGTTTAAAAGGTGTGGAAGGAGAGTTTGGAGCTGTTTCTGGCAGGGGAAACAAGGGCAACATGAAATGGCCTCTCTCCAATGTGAGCTTAAAGTAAATATTAATAAAAAGTAAAAAATTTTCGGACCGTTACATGGTTATGTCCTTTCAAGGCCGCTCATTGTAAACTGAAGGATGTGCCACTTTCATGTATATACAGTACCGTTTCAGTTGAAAAACTCCAGTCAAAGTGACCAGACTTTGAGACTTGCTCTCAGTTTTTGCAAGAAATCTGCAGGAATACTTTTCCACACCTCCAAAGTTTAGTCTTAGAAGTTAGTTAAATTTTCTTCTTCTCCTGATACAAGTAATCTGAATTACACATTTAGACTCATCAGCCCGTAAAACTTACTCCACATGTCAGATGTCCAGTTGTGGTGTTGTAATGCAATCTTTTAAATCTTTTTTGTGGGCTCTAAGGTGTCCTGGTCATTGTTCTTTGTAAGGGCTTCTTGGCAACTGCACACCCTTTCAGACTCATTATTGAGTTATTCTTCTCACAGTGGAAGGATGGACAGAACACCTGTAGATTTTTTCAGATCTATAGCAAGACTGGAGCTTGATTCTCTGAAAGCTTTAAATATTGTTTATCAGATGGTAACTATTAACTTTTTAGAACTTCCAGTTGTATTTTCACTTATTTTCCTTTAACTTTCCTCTTCCTCATGCAATTGGATTATCAGAGATAACTTCTTTAACTGCAGGAGAAACCTAAGAGAAATCCTGCCCTTAGAGGTGATTAAGGCAGTAATGGTAGCAGAACAAGGCCTGCAAACGTAGCCCATTGAGTTGCATAAATTAATCAAACAGCATGGTTACATATTAACCTGGTCACCTTCCTGGGTGGTGATTTATTCCACAAATTATGTGTAGACTAAATGCTTTCCTCTAGGTCTGTACGTTATGTGCCATGCCTGATTAGTCACACATAGTTAGATGAAAACCTAACCCCTAATAATGTTACATTCATGGTGTAATTTCACTTTGGCTATAAAGTTCTAAAGTATTTTTGCTTGATTTTCTGTTATTATTCATTATGGGGAAAATGTAGTTATGATTTATGAGAAGAGTAAAAAACTATTAGTAGCTGTTATTATCACCGCTGCAGTAGAGTGGAAATTATTTGTTTATGCTGAACTTCGATATTATGATGGAGACCAAGATTCTAAATGCATCCTAATGCATCCAGCAACCAGCCTAGTAATGCAATAAAAAATATATATATATAATAACAACAACAGTAATAATTCTACAACCCCATTTCCAAAAAATTGTTGGGACGCTGTCCAAAATGTAAATAAAAACAAAATTCAATGATGTGCAAATCATTTAAACCCTATATTTCACTGAACATAGTACAAAGACAACATATTAAATGTTGAAAGTGAGAAAATGTATGTTTTTTGAAAAATATATGCCCATTTTGAATTTGATGCCATCAGCGTGTTCCAAAAAAGTTGGGATGGGGGTATGTTTACCATTGTGTTCCATCACCTCTTCTTTTTGACAACACTCTGTAAGTGTTTGGGAACTGAGGAGACCGACTGCTGCAGTTTTCAAAGTGAAATGTCGTATTTTTCATTTTTTAATGTGCCAAATGTTATCAGTGGTGACAGGTCTGGACTGCAGGCAAGCCAGTTTAGCGCCCGGATTCTTTTAACTCGGAGCCATGCTGTTGTAATACATGTAGAATGTGGTTTGATATTGTCTTGCTGAAATAAACAAGGCCTTCCCTGAGAAAGTCATCGTCTGGATGGCAGCATATGTTGCCAAAACATGTATATATCATTCAGTATTAATGGTGCCTTCACAGATGTGCAAGTCACCCATGCCATGCGCACTAATGCACCACTATGCTATCATGAATACTGGCTTTTGAACTGTGCACTGATAACAAGCTGAGTGGTCTTTAGCCTGGAGGAAACAGTGTCCCTGATTTCCAAAAAGAAATTCATATGTTGACTTGTCAGACCACAGGACACTTTTCCACTTCCCCCCAGTCCATTTTAAATGAGCTCGGGTCCAGAGAAGGTGGCAGCGTTCCTGGATCCTGTTTATATATGGTTTCTTCTTTGTGTTTAAGAGTTTTAATTAGCATTTGTGGATGCAGCACCAAACTGTTTTCACAGTGTTTTTCAGAAGTGTTTCTGAGCCCATGCAGTGATTTCCTCTACAGAATCATGTCTGTTTTTAATGCAGTGCCACCTGAGGGCCCAAAGATCATGGCCAGCAAATACTGGTTTTTGGCCTTGTCCCTTGCATACAGAGATTTCTCCCGATTCTTTGAATCTTTTAATGTTATTATGTACCACAGATGATGAAAAGCAGACGTTCTTTGCTATTTTATGTTGAGAAATGTTATTCTTGAATTGTTGCACTATTTTGATTGTGCAGTCTTTCACAGAGTGTTGAACCCCTCCTCATCTTTACTTCTGAAAGACTCAGCCTCTCTGAGATGTTCATTTTATACCCAAAGTTATTGACCTGTTGCCAATCAACCACCAGGTGTTTTTTAGCATTACACAACTTTACCAGCCTTTTGTTGCCTACGTCCCAACTTTTTTGGAACGTGTTATTGGCATCAAATTCAAAATGGGCAAATATTTTTTAAAGAACAATTTCTCAGTTTCAACATTTGATATGTTGTCTTTGTACTATTTTCAATGAAATGTAGGGTTTAAATGATTTGCACATCTTTGCATTTTGTTTTTGTTTACATTTTGCACAGTGTCCCAACTTTTTTGGAAATGGGGTTGTAAAATGAAACCAACGTTTTGGTGAACTCTTGACAGTGAATGCAGGAAAGCTCAAAACTGCTGTATACTGGAGCACGCTAAACTCAGCCACATCCGCTTTAACGTCCGGTGCACTTTCCTACAGCTCTGGACAGCTAGATAGCTGGCACGCTCTTGCTTATTATTGAAAATAAGTGCAAATAATAGCCTGCTAGCTAGCAAGGCAAAGGGGTAGAAAACTTATTTGAACTGCACCTGGAGTTAAAACTGATACTGTCACCTGGAATTGTGAGAGTCCAGCAAGCTGTGCCAAATCCCAATGAATCCACATTGAGTGTGATGTGCTAGCCTATGGGTTGGTAAACATTTGTTTCTCCACAGAGAAACTGGGTTCATAAAAGTGGCAAGTGTGTTGTTTATTCACATTGTTTTCCCATTTTCAAATAATTTATTTATCTAATTTGTTGAATATAATTAAATATTTGTTGCTGCTCTGTTGTTAACCTGCATATCACAAAAACTATACCTCGGATTCATAAGTAAATAAATAAGCACTTCAGCTCAGGCCTAAAATGCCTTAAACTTGCTGATTACTTAACCCTCCTTTATTTGAGCTAAAATGTGTATTAAAAGTAATATATGCCATGCAGTCTGTCAGTAATGAGCTCTGGTGGCAGACTGTGTGTGTGTAAGAGATAGTCATGCACTGTCTGTGCTGCAGAAAATACTTAAGGGACAGTGTGTGTGTTTGTTTTTGTGGGACAGTCAAGGACTCTGAGCTATAGGGCACACTGTGTATGCGTGTGCAGAATCAATGATGATGGGCTGTCTTTGCTCTAGGTGATGCTGGTAGGGGACTCAGGGGTGGGGAAGACCTGTCTGCTGGTGCGCTTCAAAGACGGAGCCTTTCTGGCGGGCAGCTTCATCTCTACAGTGGGCATTGACTTCAGGGTGAGTGTGACAGATGCACGCACATATGCATACACTTACACAACTTCTCTCCACAAAGCTCTCAGGATCAAAAGGACAGTTCCATTGAAAATCAAATCCTCTCTCACATGGAAGCAATCTAAGAGGATGGAACCTGGTAAGAAGTCTATTAGATTACATTTCTTTAATGAGTAGGTCAGTCTTTTCATGTCAGAGACTATTACCAATCCCCTGTTGGGGCCATAGCTGCCTCCCATCATCTGGGGCCTGACCTTGAAGAGTTTATTACAGAGTTTTTACTGCGCTGATTTCTCACTGTTTTAAAAGCCTTCTGGCTAAAAAGGTATTTGCCAAGCAGTATTGATTCTTAAATTAGTTCGACATGCTTTCGTTTAGGGGGTTCCCTTGGTAACAGGTGTGTCTGCTGTGCTAGTTTTGTGGGTGGCTTTAAGCGATAAAAAAGGAGACGTGCTCCCCGAATGAAGCACCTGGGAAAAGCTCAGCTTATCTATGATGAAGTTACAGCTGATATTCAGGCTTCAATTTGAGATGTGTGCAGTTGACCACTGGACAGGACCACTATGCTGTTTGTCATAGAAAAGGAAGGGGTGACAGGTGCACTGCTGTTTGATGGGATGCAGCTATTTTACAACAAATCCATCAAATGGAGCTGTTAGCACCTTATTTTAGCTTGATCAGTTCTGACTTGTTGATGGTTTGTAAAGGAGTGCACCAGTATGCCTATTGTCAATACGTAAATTTGTATAAAATGTAGAAATTGAGACTTCGTCCACTTGGATTAGCCTTTCAGAGAAATGTCACATGTATTTATAGCAGGTTATACATGCAGTAAAATGAATAAACTGCCGACAGCTTGTCGCAGTAACCCAGCATCACCTAAACATTCTGCTCTCCTGGATTACAGTCATCAAATGTTTGAAATATTGATTCAGTCTGAATAAATGATGTTGTGAAATTATCAGGTGATAATGATATGATGCTGCTGTCAATGTGCATCCCAAATTTTGTAAAGAGTCTGTCTGATATGGCCATAATAATGGCTGCCTGATGATATACTAATATCTCACAGATTTATAAATTGCAGTGAAAGCTCTGCTGATGCAGTACTGATGAGAAGTGTTGCAACTAATTTCTCTGATGTTAAGAAATCCCAGGTTTTAGAAAGACTGCTTGCAGTCACCCCTTGCTCCCTTCTGTAATAGAAAGGCACGCAGGACTGATAAATTTAATATTTAAAATCATGTTTAAAATAACAAAAAAATGTGAAATGCATCCAAACCTAACCTTATGAGGATAACACATTATAACACTTATAAAAACTTGTGAAAAATAAGCAAAATAATAGATAATTATCTGAAACAAACCAACCCACCAAGAATTCCAGGAAGCTCCACCCACTCATCTCCTGCTACATTATTTATATAATTTAATCTTACCAGTTACTGTGTAATTGAATAATTAATCATTAAAATGTAAACAAAGTCAGAGCGGTAAAATGTGCCAAGCCTAATGATTGTTGATGAATGCTGCTTTATTGCTTTCTTTTATTTCCATTTATTTGCCTAAACCCAACACACTCAATTCACATTTTGTTTGTTGCAGCATGATACGACCAAGAAATTGAACTGTAGAAAATGATTTCAGTCTTCTTAAATAACTGTGATCATGTCAAAGCTCAAATAATTGTGATTAGGCAATTATGTAATAATTGTGACAGGCCTAGTTGTAAGGAAATCATAAGTTTCTCTACAAGGCATCATTTCTCATTCTGAACTGCTTTGTTTACATGTCAGCAACTGCTGTTTGAGGAATCGTAACAGTTAAGAGCTGTCAATCATCAAAAAACCTGACAATTTACAGTCTGTTTAACTAAAGCCCTATTTGAGCTGAATTAGTTTTACCTGGGAATTTGCTTTGATTTTAATCAAGTATGAATCAGCAAAGCCATAGTTTTTGCAAGTTTGCTAAGCAATAATTCCAAAGTGAATATTGTTCAATAATTCGCTGAACTTGGAACTCCCTAACAAAAATGACACTTCCTTTTTTTTTTTTTTGCGACCTAAAGACAAGGCTAACAGCTGAAGTGGTGCTTGATTTGATCCAGTTTTTTTTATCCTCATGTTCATGACAAGACTGCTGAAATCCACAAGGTTTTTGCTGATGGCTATTATGAAATATCTCTAAAGCATCTTTTGGAAAGGCAAGGTGTTTCCTGTCTTGTTGGGTGGCATTTGGTAAGTTTAATGAGCCCACTATTCTAGCTTAATGCACAACGTTTAGCCACACATGTTATTGTTTGGAAGTGTAAAGCCTGTCTAATCATGCTGGCGTAAAAACATCTGTTTGTAGTAATTTGGACAAATTACACAGATCCTTGATTCTGCATAAATCGACCAGTCAAATCATGCGCAAATTACATTACCTTGACCTCCTCTTGTAAAATGAGTCCAGCTCGAATACGGCTTAAAACTACTGGTAACATTATGTTATCCAATATTATATGTATTTTTAACATCTTAAAATCAATATCTGATAATTCACTAAATGTTTTATGTGGGTCAGGCCCTAATCCTGTGTTGATATCATGTTTTTTTATTGCTGACCATCCATTTGTTGTCAGCTCCTTGGAAACAAAGTGGTTTGGCATGATTTTCCGGCCTGTTCCTGTCTCCCATTGTGCGCTCTGCAGTAAGAGATTGCCACAGTGAAATGTAGAATGGTGTGCTGAACCACTCGCTTGTTTGTCATATTGAATTATTAGGTAATTGTTACGCAGTGCTGTGTTGCATTTCATGCACCTTTTCATTATGAGGCTCAAGGTTCCACTTATTGTATTTACTGTGTGTATATGCTCTGTTTTATCACTCCCTGCAGTCCTCACTGTGTAAGCCAGGGGTGTGTATCATTCAGCAGAAGAGTAGAGAAGCTGTGGAATGACTGAAAGATCCTTTTGACTGTTAGGAATGTGTGTTTTTCTATTGCTTGGTAAGTGTCACACAGACACGAATTGCCTGTGTGCTCACAGAACTACAGAAAAAGAGATAAAAATATAAGAGAGGTAGAGAGAGAGAGAGGCTAAACAGCAGTGTTACACAGTGTGTTATTGTGATATTAGCCTTAGCATCACTGTGAATATAGAAGGCTTCAGTATGTAAATTAGTGTTCACAGACCAATTTTCTCTTGTAAGAAGAAAAAGTTCAAATTGAGCAACTACTACTTGTTCTTATCATTCAAAACAGTAATTTGCCTTAGAACCCAAATCTTAGAGTCCTCACAGCCTTAAAAAGTGATGCAGTCAGGTCTATATATATTTAGACAAAGTTATTGTTGTTTTGAGTGTGTACCATAGCATATTTCAGTTAAAATTAAATAATGAATATGAGCTCAAAGTGCAGACTTTCAGCTTTAAGTTGAAGGGATTTACATCCAAATTAGTTGAATGGTGTAGAAATTACAACCATTACACAACCATTGTCATACACAGGCCCCATCAATTTTTTTAGGGGCTCAAAAGAAATGAAAAGACAAAATTACAATAAATTTAATTGTCTGTTTATCGCTTGGTTGCAAATCGTTTGTAGTCAGTGACTGCCAAGAACCCAGAGACATCACTAGACACAGGGTTTTTTCCCTGATGATGCTTTGCCAGGAGTTTATTGCAGTTGTCTTCAGTTCCTGCTTGTTTTTGGGCGCTTTACATTTGGTTTTGCCTCCAGTAAGTGAAATCCTTGCTTGATTGGATTGAGGGGAGGTGACTGACTTAGCAATTACAGAACATTCCACTTCTTTGCCTTAAAAAAAGTCTTGGGTTGCTTTTGCAGTATGCTTTGGTTCCATTGTCCATTTGCAATGTGAACCTTTGAGGTTTTGAAGCATTTGGTTGAATCTGAGCAGATTATATGGCCTGCTGTACTTAGAATTCATCCTTCTGCTTTTGTCAGCAGTCATCAGTTAATCAGTAAATACAAGGGGGCCAGTTCAAGTGGCAGCCATACATGCCCACGCCATAACACTACCTCCACCATGCTTTACAGATGAGGTGGTGTGCTTTGAATCATGAGCACTTGATCTGTGATCAGACAGGAAATATACAGGCTTTTTAGATGTTTGTTCTGTTGACTCTAATCCAGAAATCCTGTTTTTTGAGACTAACCAGTGGTTTACATCTTGTGGTAAACTGTCTGTATTTACTCTGTCGAAGTCTTCTCTTGGTTATTGATTTTGATACACATACACCTGCTTTTGAACTGGCCTGTTGTGAAGAGTCTTTCTTTGTTCACCAGGGAAAGAATTCTTCTGTCTGCCACCAAAGTTGTCTTTCGGTGTTTCTAAACTCACCAGTGCATTCTTTCTTTCTAAGAATGTACCAAATAGTTGATTTGGCCACACCTAATGCTTTTTGCTTTGGTGAGTTTGTTTTGATTTTTTCAGCCTAATGATGTCTTGCTTCACTGGCCGACAACTCCTTGGACTCTGTGTTGAGAGTTAACAGCAACAGATTGCAAATGAAATCCTATACTTGAAATCAACTGTAGACCTTTTATCTGCTAACCTGTAAGTGAAATAATGAGGGAACATCACACACCTGGCAATGGAACAGCTGAGCAGCCAATTCTTTGGTTACTTTTGAGGCCTTAAAAATGGGGTGGCTTTGTATGAAATTGTAATTCCAACACCATTCACCATTCAGATTTGGATGTTAATACCTTCAGACTTAAGCTAAAAGTCTGCACTTTGAGCTTTCATTTGTTATTTAATTTCAATTCCAGGAAGTTAAATTAACAGAAAGTTTGTCAGTGTCCAAATATATATGGATCTGAATGTATTTCCAAACCTGCTGCTTACATATGGTGCTTTTATCTATTAAAAATAGGTCTAGAAAGTAACGTTATAGGTAGTCTTTTTTCACTTGGAAAAACAACTTTGGCCTGTTTATTGGCCTGTCTGTGAATTCTCTGCTTGCAGGTAAGCGAATGGAAACAGCCTTAACATAAATCTA